CGGTAAGCCTGAACGTGGGCAGAAGCTGCAAACAAGCTTTGCTTAAGTCCACATGAGAGAAGATGAGAGGCAGTGTGTATGACTGTGTGTGTTTCTGTGTGTGTGCCGACCCAAGTCTACATAATGTGTATTGTCTGGTATCAGGGTTTCTCTGGCACACATGAAAGAGTGTGTATGCAAGAGTGTGTGTGTGTGTGAGTATTTGCATCTGCTTTGTTTGAGAAGGCACTGTAAACACACACACACACACACACACACACACACACACACAGCCTGGTCATTCCAACACTGTTTAACAGCTCACTTAGTCGACCAGTCAACCCCGCAAACCAGAAACACTGTCAGTCAAGCAGACATTTATATGATCAGCAAGTCAAATACCCAGGCTGACACACACACACAGACACACACACACACACACACACACACACTTGTACTTCTATCTTTGTGAGGACCCTTGTTTACAGCCCCTATCCCCTTACCCTGACCGTAACCATCACAGCTAAATGCCTGACCCCAACCCTAACCTAAACCTTTGTAACCACCCATCCATTAGCTACGCCACTTGTCCTTTGAGGGTCGCAGGGGGGCTGGAGCCAATCCCAGCTGACACTGGGTGAGAGGTGGGGTACACCCTGGACAGGTCTTGATTGTGAGCTGAACCTTCAAACCAAGTCTTGACCCTCAAACAGCCCTTGAAGTTGTGCGGACCTCACTTTCCCCAAATGTCCTCACTCTGTAAGATCTATAAATCTCAAACTGGTCCTCACAAAGATAGAAGTACAAGCGCACACACACGTACAAACACAAACACATACACATCCAAGGCAGATAATTACCCACTCAGGTGAACAGGAAGTTTGTCAGCCAGACTGATGAGTTAACTAGTAATTCAGTCAGTCAGCCAGTGATTTGCCACTTAATGAGTTTCAGTTCAACATGACACACCCTCACTGTGTGTGTGTGTGTGTGTGTGTGTGTGTGTGTGTGTGTGTGTGTGTGTGTGTGTGTATGTGTGTGTGTGTGTGTGTGGGTAATTTTCAACATGTTTCCCATTCACAAACAGCCATGGATTCATGAGCAGCTAGTCTTCATAACTACATCTCCCATGATTCTTAGCGTGTTATGGCAGTAAACATGGTCAGAAACGTTCTTTTTCTTCTTGTTTCATTAAGATTAGTGGAACAAAGGCTGCAGCTTTAAACACTGAATCTCTTCAATCCTAAATTTAAATAAGTTCTTTTGTAACTTCAGTAACCATCATGCATGGTCAGATTAACCTCCCAGGGTGCACTGGGGCAAAGAATTATTGACCCCCACCATACATGGCACTTTCATTATTTCCCCATGAGGCACCAAGACACCAAACTGAGCTGAAATAAGTGGTTAATCAATATTAGCCAATGGAGAGGAAGCTAACAGGCAACAAAAATGAAAAAGATTCACTGGTACCAGCTTCTCAAATGTCGGTAACAGTTTTACCAGTTTTCCATGATAATAATGCAAAATCTTTGCATTTTTGACCGTTAACTTGTCCCTCAGAGAAAAAATGACAGACAGTTTCTCAATTTTCTAACAGAAAACATCAATCAGTCATTAAAGAAAGTAATTGTATGAAGTGCTTGTATAAAATAACTCTTGGTTGGAGCCTTACAGTCGTCCTGTGGTGGAATAACACTTCCTCGCTGGAAGGTTTATGATTGATTACCTAAAATATGGAAAACAAAAATTAAGCAATTTGATAAAACACAACTTTAAGCTCAATATTAAGTCTTAAAACTAGTTTATAAACAGGGTCCCTCTAGAAGACCGGGACCAAGATGGAGGGTGGAGGACCGGTCAGAGTTGATACTGTGCAAAAACACATGGAGTAAATCAGCTTAGCTTGTTGACATGTTCTCCAACAGTTTAGATTTCCATCCAATGTAGGTTGTCTATAGAGAGCTGTGCAGATAATTGGCAGTAAAAGTGAAACATTCTTCTTTAACGCGAGCCAGTCTGAACCTCATTAGTGAGACTTGTGACTAACAGGGTGCAGCTCATCCTAAAACACTTCCACAGCAGCCGGATCGAAGCACAAACTGAAGACGGATATCAGACAATAGATCCGCGCTGAAAGCTCCCAGCAAATGTACATTTCCACCATCAGGCAGAACAGGCAGCTTATAGACACGAACGACTTCATCACAGACACCTTCAGGTGGTTGTGATCTGCATGACTCCGAATCAATCTACTCTCAGGCTGGACCAATCAGAGCAGAGCTGGATAACACCGTCTGACACTGATATATAGAGGACAAAGTATGCCTCTATAAAAATGACAAAAATATACATTTACATAAAAATATTATACAAGATATTAAATTAATAAATAAAAAAATACAATCAATAATTTTAAATTAAATAAATACTTGTAAATATATAAAATAATTAATATAATGTATATAAAGTGTTAGATCTAATACAGTACATTAATAACTACAATGAAATGCAAAGCATAAACCATATTAATCATCCTTAAAATTAACGACTAGAAATACACATTGTTGTCCCTTACTTAATTAGACAACTAAAATATTATAATTTTCTACTTTAGCTTATATTCTACTTTATTCTATAGTTTGATTACTTGTTAGTAGATCATTTTATTGTTGGTTTTGCTCTTTTTGTGGGATTTACTCACGCTAATAAGAATAGAAACTGAACTGAACAGAACTTAAATGTGTGTGTGTGTACCTGTATATATGTGTGTGTGTGTGTGTGTGTGTTGTATCAAAACTCAAACTTCATTCCCTGTCCATGACACTTGACCTCTCTACACTCAGCTCCTCTAAAACACACACACACACACATATACCCTCACAGCAGCAGCTTATTCCGCTCCACATAAATCACTGCAGCCATACCAGGCGACTTGCACTGCTTCAAGTTGCTCTAATGCACTGATGCCTACTGTAACATTCAGGAGACTTATGAAACAAAAGGTTAGGCCCCTGAATGGCCCAGTGTCAAGGATTACTTCTGAGACAAATTCTCCAACAACAAAGCCTCCATTGTGCCCCACCAAGCCCTTGAATTAGCAGCGGGGGCGACTGCACGCTTAACTGGGCTTGACAGCGCGACTACTCTCACAGACCTCTCTGAAGATTTACTCAGATTGCTTCGATCTGAAATGACTAAAAGATTTAAAGAATGAAACGAGAAAGAAAATGTATAGATAAATGGAAAAATAAATCCAATTGATGTCTGGGGAGAGTCTAAATAGATTATTTTTTAATATAGATTAAACTGTCCATAATCTATTTAAAAGTAGGCCTCAGTCTAAATATGGATTAGGCTGCAACATCTGTCAGAAAAAAGCAGCAGTTTCTTCAGGGGATTCTGTTTCCTGCTGTCTTTTTATTTTCAGAGAAACATCAGCTTGTTACTCGGTTTAAGGAAGTGTTTATGTGGTGATCACTCCGACATTAAATCCTGTTATTTTCCTGATTATTTAAAGAGGTTTTTGGTTTTCTTCAATGGCCTTCAATTTAAACCCGTGGGACTGAGTTTTAGCTTCCAGCGTCAAGTCATGAAGAAGGAAGCGTTCGTCTTCCTGTTGCAATTTTCAAAATAAACCTTTTTTCATTTTATTTTATTTTATTTTTTATCAAAGCCTGGTTTTTGACAAAAACAACGTACAGAATTTAAAAAAAAATGACAGTATCTCAAAGGGACGCTGTAAGTTTTTGTTATGTCATACGTGTTTCTCACCAAATCCACAAATGATTTTTCAGCCCTGTGTATTGATTTATGTGGCAAAAGTGTCCATTAATGGCACTTGAGTCTTTTTTGATTTGATTTTTGATTGTTTGTCATCTTTATTCAGTAAACTACAGAACAAGGAAGTGATAAAATAAAAACGAAACCAGACAAAAGTAAGAGTAAAAGACAACAGAAAAATTTGAATTTCAAGAGCAAAGTAAATATATTTATTTATACAATGTTTTTGCTGAAATTGAAACATTTACTTTGCCGTGACTTGTGCCATCCTGAGTGAGTATGCATTTATTTGCTTCTTTCCACTGACTCTGTTGCCTATGATTTCACATCTCCTCTAACATTTGGTTAAAAGCCTCAGGCATAATCCATATCCTTTACATAATTTAACTGATCAAAATATGGTAAGAAATTCACACTACTGAAGTAAAATGTCAGCTATGACAGAGGCCCTGGTCTTGTAGAGGAAGTCTGTCAAAATCTACTTTTATGTATATATATATATGTATGTATATTGATTGTTTACATTGATTTGTTGTTAAGTTGTGATTTATCAAATTAGTTCATTTTATGTGTCCAATAATTAACACATAAAATTTCCAATAAGGTTGCATTATCAATACATCTGACTGTTCATTTTTTTATTGATTGTTCAATGTATAAAATGTTGAAAATAATGAAAACTGCCCATCATTACTTCCTAAAGGGCGAGTTAACATACTTACAGTTACAGTTTTTTAAAATAAAATATAAAAAAAATTGCCAATTAATTTTCTATGAATCCTCGATTAATCAACTAATCATGTCAAATCTAGACTACTTGCTTGGGCTCCTCTTGCTTTGTATTGTCTCCCCACGATTTAAGAAGGCACGGCTTTTATTTTGAAAGAAATCCAAAGCTACTTCTGGTGTTATGCTGGGTAACTCCGTCTAACCTGACTGAACTGTGGGAGCCCACAGGCAAGGGGGGGGGTTTAGTATTGGGAGGAGGAGGAGGAGGAGGAGGAGGAAGAAAAACACTCATCCCCATACTCCCCAGTCTTGTTTCATATCGCGCCGTTTACAGCTGAGCTCCTGGCTGAAGATCCGGGGTGTGTGTATGTGTGTGCGTTATGAGCGCTTCATATTCGCACTGGATACAGAAAAAAAAACACACACACACACACACTCTCCTGCCATAGAAAAAAAAAAAAAAAAAAAACTACATGTGTGTGCGCTTGAGTGTGTGTTGGCTTAGTCACGAATTACACCTGAGCCGGGCGGGCATGTAGTTAACCGGGTTCCTGGGCGTGGGGAGGACGAAGAAAGCCGCTTGTCTACTTACTTGTCGTGGGAATATTGTTGAAGTAAACTTCAGCGGTGACTGCAGCAGCTGCGCAGCTCCGCCGCACAGTCGTTTCGCTCCGGTTCGCCTCGCCTGGACCAGTTTTCCTCACACCAGGATGTAAATTTGGGAACTTTTTGAAGGACCGGTGACACAGGGGACGAGTTTTATTGTCCAACTTTTGCTATTTTTTGGGGGAATATAGTGAGAAAACACGACTGTAGCAGTGAGAGGGACATCAGCGGCAAATTCAGAGGTAAGCAGCATTTTTGCCTTACTTTTCACTCTCATGGATATTCTTGCTGTTTTGTGCCAAGTTTCACTAAAAAAAAAAATCCTCTTTATTTCAAATCTTGTCCCGACAAGAAAGCTGTGGGGGGATTTTAAAGATTTGGAAGGTACACGTGATTTCTTATCAACGCGTTGCCCAGACAAGTCCCCTCTCTCTCGTTTAGAGAACGTCACACCGAACTCCGCTTGGGAAACTTCAAATTTAATAAATGATTGATTACTGGTACAAAAGCACGCGCACTACTTAACAAAATATGTGACGTTTTGCACACAGCACGTACGTGTTAATGATTCGGCATTAAGGCCATCCCGTAAGTAGCGCGTTATTTTCAGGTAACTTAAAAAAAAAATGATTTAAGTCAAGTAACACGCTGCAATCAATGTATTGGGAGACCATTGAGGTGTTCGGTAAGACTTTTTGGTGAGAGCCCGGGTGTAATTTGAAAGTTACAATGACATAACTTTTGTTTTAAGGTTTTGAATGTAAGCCGAAATGAAGACTGGGGCTGTAATGATTCGCTACGGTGGTTGAAACCTGTGTTGGGAGCTCTAGTCTTTGCTGAGAGGCGAAGTAATACCTAATTTTTTAATTTTTAAACTGAGTCTGGCGCGGCGATCTGTGCACATGGGAGACGACGGAATGCGTTGGGACTAATCAATACTCAGAAGAACATCTGGAGCCTCAGCTTGTGGGCTGATCCTGTTGAGCGAGTGACACGGCTTCAGTAATGTATTCCAGACTGGACTGACTTCTTCCAGTGTTAACTTCCCTTGCTGGCATTTACAGCAGCTGTACAAAACCATTATCCATTATTGATTCTCCTCATTAAGTCTGTACCAGTCCCAAGGAGGATAATGGGATGTTAGAGAAGGATTTTAAATCTCTGAAGCTGTGAGGGATTGTAACTCAACATCAGTTAGACATCTAATATAATATCCCTAATGTTGTATTCATTTGTTGTACTGCGGTAAACAGATGTTTTTTGATGGCAGTATTGATCAGAAGTGCTTGAACCATTACAGCAGCGGCTAAGATAATGATTGCATTAGTCAAATCTTTGGCCCCAAAGGTTATTATAACACATTGACCCCCATCTCATGTGTGGATCCATGAATTTCTGAAAACACTGCGCTGTTGGCCATCTGCTTCAAAGCATTGCTCTACATGATGGGAAGGTAATTGCCCATGGTGTCAGTTAATGGATCAGAATAGCCTCCACACTGCACCTTGAGCTCTGGAGCCATAAAACCATTACAGCCGCAGTGGAGCCGCTCTGTTTAGACCCAGGTTGTTGGGTGTTATGGCTAATATAAAACTCGGATCAGCCGAGCTTTCAGTTTCAAGGCTGCTTGAGCAGTTAATTGTCATGTTTTAATTTACTGCAGTCACCAGGGGGAAAGTTTGGATGTGCAGTTTTTTTGGAGTCAGTGCTGGAAATATTTACAATTTCCCGTGTACTGGATGGACACATAGCATGAAAACAAGAAATGTGGCTGAAAAAAAATGACCTTTAAACCTCCTGTGTCTGAATGAGTGATTTCAAATTTTGCCCTATCTCTCACTGATGTTTCCTGTTCAATTAATGTTTTCCAGGAAACGGCAGTTCTAATGTGTTCCTACAGCAATCGATAGTTCAAACACTCTATGTTCTTTTGAATAAGCTCTTCAGTAAATCCTTTTTTAATGTTTTTCTAGAAGCCGGGCTATTTCAGCGAAAGCCTCGACACATGCCTCCACGCACACCACAATACATACACTATCTCCTCTTTTGTGAACTGGCTGTTTAAAATTAGTAAGTGAGCGGATGAGCTTTATATTGAACAGCCTCAGGGACAGAGCGCACAGTGTTTTACATTATCTCTTGACTTGGAAATGGAGCACAGAGTTCTTGGGGTTTTTTACATTTTTTTTTATCAACATTTCTTGGAGGCAAAAGGAATTTCGTTGGTTGCCTTTTGGGCAGATTCTGCAAGACAGCTGACAGGCAATTTTATAATATACAAAGAAGGAGCTTTAAGGGAGGAAAATCAAAGGGCAACGACCTCTTTTTATTCATGTATTCATATCACATTCATGATCTGAGATGATCAGCTGGTTAACTGGATATTTTGGATGACATGGTACATGGTAGACATGTTTTTCATTCAGTAGCAGAGCTCAGGGTGTCTTGATATTGGCTTTTTCCCCTCTCTGTTTGTTTTCTAACTGGACTTTACTCTGATCTGAAGGCTCAGTCGGACCAGATTTGGTGGGATTAAATGTACTCGTGTTGTGGTGAAAACCAGGCTGGACTGGAAGTAATGTGGGTAGGGTCGCTGGAGTTCACTAAGGTGTCCTTTCTCTTGGTTCTTCAAGCGACACTTGGCAACTTCCTGACACTGTGGACCTTTGAGGGGAACGACGCTATCGTAGCTTATTAGCTTAGCAAAGATATATAACATCAACACTCAGAGCTTGATCTTTGAATCTGCTGGAGCTTGCACCATAACCACAAACACATAACCTAATTTGTCACTTGTATGTTGTTTGTCCCTTATCTAGAGAAACTGTGGTACTGTGACTCCACCCACCTCTGAACCAATAAGATATAGAGGAATGTTTGTGCTCCTAAACCTCTAATCAGCCAGAGAAAGAGAGAAATGTTGTCAGCATGTGGGTTGAGCTGTACATTAATGGAGCCTATACAGTCAGACGATCAGAAACCTGTTTGAGTGGAATGCAGGCGGGCGGCTGAGGAACTCTGCCTCTGTCACATTGACACGGCTGCGAAATGAAAGAGAGTTTCAGAGTCAGATTTCATGAATCCAATAATCCTTCAAATAATAAGTAAACAGTGAAATTAGTATGGGGGAAAACACACAACCCAAATCCAATAACTTCACGGTGTTGACATGTGACAGTGTAGTGAGGTTGCGACGTGACAGATTTGGCAGGTTCAGCTTGTCGGCCGGCTCTTCTTATTATTGGTTGCAAATTTGACATAATTGAGTTTTGTTTGGAGGAGGGCTGGGTGATAATTTAGCCAAATCATATGGTGATGATGCAGCCTCATGTTATTTTTCTGTTTCCAAAAGGAATGACTCTCAGAGAGCTGTAGTTACAAACCAACAGAATTAGTTTGTGAAACTTGTGTCTGACGAGGAATTTGGTCTGTAAACAGTGGAGGGAGTGACGGCAGCAATACCACAAGGTAAAAATACAAGTTACAAACATAAAGTCCTGCATTCACACAGTTTGCTTTGCTCCAGGACAAGTCACAGCTTTATCATTTTTATAGTGTTTGGAGATCTCATGGAAATATGTAGCTTTGTACAACTCCAACCTGTGCAGGTCTAATCGGCCACAAAGCTGTAAACTCCTCTGTGGATATGCAGGGCCTATAATCACATGAAAAATCAAAACTAAACTAGTAAATGTAGTTGTCAAATAAATGTAGTGAAGTAAAACATGCAGTATTTCCCCCAGAAACATAGTGGAGAAGAATAAAAAGCATTTCAATTGCAAATACGGATAATTCAACACTGTTCTTAAGTACAACATTTGGGTGAATGGACTTGGACACAAGTAATTCTATTTTGAAAATCTTAATTTTACATGTGATTTGTGCTTGTTTTTCTCAAATCTGACTTCCCAACAAGATATTTAGTTTTTAATTGTTGTATTTTGCATTTCAAAACTGTCAATCACTCGCTGTTAAAAAGTCTTTAAATCTTTAAAATTCTTTTTTCTCAAAATGTTAGTTTAAGTGTGAAACAATGCAATTTCAAGCTTATTCTCCATCTTGAGCTAAGTAAACTATCCTAACAGGCGTGATTACTCAATTATGATTGGACACATGACACATGCAATTATATTTGTTGGCTGCTTGAGTCTTTTTCATATGATAGAGTCTGATAGAAACTGGCAGCCCACTTACAGATAGTGTTTGTAGTGTTTTACTCTTTTAATGCATTTTCTAGTTTTACAGTGCACACTATTATCATGTCCTGGCTCTATTGGAAGCATGTGGTTGTTTTTGGTCCAAATTTACTTTCGCTGCTGTGTTGAAACACCAAAATAAGCATCTTCACTCAGCTAAAAAAAAAAAAAATCCCTCAAAGCCTGAAATTAAATTATGCTTCATAACTTGGCAGCGAGACCAAGTGAAGACAGAGAGAGGGAAAAACCACTTAAAAGTTCGTTCTGCTTTTCTCCACGTTGTGGTGATTGGAAACAGGAAGGGCCTGCTAGTCCTCAGAGGTCAGAGGTCAGGGGTCAATGGCAGAGAGAGCATGAATGCACGGTCACACAGACATTCGCACACGCTCAGCTACTGCACTGTTTGTCATGTTGTAATTATCGTGCCTGCACACATGTGTAGTTGAGTTTATGTGATTTCATGCAACCCTGAGTGTGTGTATTTGTTTTCCCATTGTCCTTGGCAGTGGACGTTACTTTCCACTGTTACCTATTTACATGTTTGTGTGCAGCAGTCCGTGCTTTCGAAATAAAGACGATGGGGAAATGTTGGACGAAGCGCACATGCACCGACTACAGATGAATGTTAACATAGTGGAATTTCCTCCATGATATGTTTAGTGAGATGGGGGGGCGTAGGCAGTATGATGATATGTGCAGTGAGATGGCACAAATGTGTCAGCCATCAGAGAACTGTTTATAACAAGGTACCTGTCCCGGCTGTGTGGAGACATTGTTGGTGATGCTAACAATCACTGAGCAGACTTGTTTTATGGCATTATTGGATTTTAAATGACTTTTCCATGAACGTGACGATGTAATTTTGTTTGTCAGGTATTCGATTTCTTTTTTTTTTTTTTATTTTGTCCATGAAGTTTTCTCATTTGATTTTCCGATAGATTTCTCATATAATTGTACAGTACATGTTGGTGTTGTGATTTTACAAGTACACTACCATGGTAGCAGTAAACAGATGATGGGTTTCTGTTCCTTCTCTACACACACTT